TGGATTGAGGCCTAGAATTTGAGGCATTGTTCTTATTTTGAAGAGAGCTAACAGTGCTAAGTGAGGCCACTGTAGGTGGGTATGCTGAACCATTTTGTGAAGATGTCTCTTTAGGGTCTCATTTATATTTTCTACCTTTCTTGAGGACTGTGGCCCCCATGCACAGTGGAGGCGACAGAGAATGCTCAGTGTCCAAGAGACACCCTCTGTGACTGTTGCCTTAAAAGAAGACCTGTTGTTACTTGTAAACTCTTGGGGTGTCCAAATCTGGGGAGGATTTCTGAGACCAAAACCTGTCCCACCTCTTGTGCCTTTTCTGTTCTGCAGGGAAAGGTTTCAACCTGATTTCTGAAGGCCTCGACCACACTAACAAGTACCGAGCTCCTTTACCTTTTGGCACATGAGTGAAATGAGGCTGCCAGGACGTCTAGAAACTGTTCGGGGGGGGGGGGGCTGCAGTAGCCACGATAACCCCACTAGCTCTTAGGCCCCTCTGTTGATGGAGTCTGGTATTTTAAGTTCCTCCAGATCTAGCTATAATTTTTTGGTCTTTTTTGAGACAGGGTCTCACTATACAGTTCAGGCTGCCTTGAGGTCACTTTGTAGTCCAGGCTGGTTTTGAAATTGCAGTAATCCTCCTGCCTCAGCCTCCTGAGTGCTGGGATTACAGGCATGAGCCACCCCCTGGCTAAGAATTATTTCCTAATGTAAACAAAGTTTGAACATAAGCAATTTTGACCATTTTCCTTCTTTCCTACAGTAGGATTCTAGATGTAAAATAAGCACCATAGAGGTCCTTTTCCTGTTCTCACCACAGACCAGGAAGGTTTGTATTTGGAGAAGTTACTGGAATTCTAGCATGTCAATTCCAGTCTTCCACTTCCAGTACAACCCACCGCAATACTAAAGACACTGAGACACATATATTGTTATGGGAAGCCAAGGTGGTCCTACGTCCTACCAAGATGGTGACCAGAGTCCAAACAGGGTTTTATTAACTCTGTTGAGGGGGGTGGCTCGGGGATGAGTGACAGTGAGAACAGCAGGAAATACGTGACTGCTGTTAGCTGGGCTGTTCAGGAGGCCTGAGATCACCTCTGTGACTGCAGAGGGCAAGAAAGGCACAGAGAGAGAGAGAGAGAGAGAGAGAGAGAGAGATCTGCGTAACAACTGAGTAGTATCTAATAATTTGGGGTCAGTGCTTCAGCTCTGATGTCCAGTCCTTTTTGTCCTGGAAGTCTCCTTGAGGCTCAGCATGGAGCACGGCTCTCCATCCCGCCTGGCTCAGCCATGCTTTTCTGGGAGTCGCAGGGAAACAGCAACTGTCACCTTGCTTCAAGGACTACACATCAGCTCCTCAGCCAGCCGATCTACATGGCTTAGAGCCAACTGAAGGGACAAAGAAGTGGCCCGGCCAGCTCTGCGCATCAGGACATGGAGACAGGGCCGAGTTTATGTGAAACAGAGATCGTTGCTCTTCTTTCGAGGCGAGTAGTCTGGGCGTTCCCACAGAGCATCCTAGTTAGTGCTTCCCTCTCCATGCCATTTTGGCTTTAGGGATTAGCTAGGCTATGCGCATGTGCAGAAAAACATCAAACTGCTCTTTTTCGAGCACCTTCAAAAAGCGTTACAGAGGGGGAAGAGCGTCCTGTGTCTCCATCCAGCTGTCTCGGTGGGAGAGCTCCAAAGGATCCAGGGGATGACTCTCCCCACCTGCCAGCTGTCCAGAATGCTGAGGAGTGAATTCCAGGAGCATCGGAGGTTGAGAGGAGGAGGAATTCACTGAGAGAGAGGGAGCGTCTGCCTGAGGACGAAGGAGCCCAGAAAGCGGCTGCCCCGGGGGTTTCCACAGGGTTAGGGGTCCAGGCTGGCGGTTATTTTATTTCAACACACGTCTTGCTGTCTGTTGTTCTTTTGAAAATTAGCTGCCAGTCTCACTGTTGTTCCTTTGATGATAATTTTTCCTGGATGCATTGTCCTTTCTGTTTTTATTGTGTTACAGGAGATTTCTCGATGTGGACTTTTTAGTGTTTTTTACTTGGAACACAAGTCTCCTGGGACCTGGAGACTAATGTCTTTAACTAGTTCCTGGGATGTTTTTAGCCATTTTCTCTTTGATTGTTATATGGCATATTCTCTCTCTTTTTTGAGTATTCCTGTTAAACGTGTTTTAGATTTTCTCATTGTGTATTTTCTGTCTCTTACATTTCTCATATATTTTTCAGGGCCAGGGGATTTAGCTCATTGGTACAGCGCCTGCCTGGCAAGCGTGAGGTCCTGAGTTCAATTCCCAGTACCAAAATAAAGTTAATTTAATTTAAAAATGTATCTTTAATCTTTTTTGTCCCTGTACTTGATTATAAATACTGTGCTTTGTGCCGTGTCTGGCAGCTGTCACACTCCTCTGTTGAGTTGTTATTTTCAGTTATTTTATTGTGCATTTTCAGAGTTTCTGTTTGATTCATTTGCAGGTAGTTTCTGGGGAAGGCTGTCTGCGAGGGTCTGGGGAGTCTCCATTAGGGGTAGAAGAGGCTGAGACCAAGGTTAACTGCCCTGCAGTGCCAGGCCCTGGAATACAAACCCTCCGAGAGGCTGGGGGCACAGCAGACCCCGTCTCTGCCCTGGCACTTGGATGCTCCCAGGTGGGCAGGGCGGGTCAGCTGTGCACTGTCAGCTCCCTCTGCAGAGCTGTCCCCTCTTTGGGCATGGCCCCACGACGGCCCAGGGACTTCCCTGGGCGTCCGTGGACGTCTTTCTAGTGACTGCAGCGGGTGATAAACGGTGGCCCCCAGCAGAAGCAGAAGTCTTGTTGTGCTGGGGTTTTTTTTTCTCCCAAATCCATTTTATTCAAAAATAAAAAGAAAGAAAAAATAAAAACTACCACAAAATTTCAAAGCACATCAGTCAAGGGCAACAATGGTACATACATTGTGCAGTGTCATCCCCAAATCATTCACCCAGAACACAAGCCATCTGCATTCAGTTGTCCAAACAACACCAGCACAAATCTTTCTCTTCAGGGGACTCAGAGGAAACTGTGGTACAACCGTCTTAACGGTTTTCTTGTATACATAGACATACACATACACACGTTTCTTCTTGCAGTGTATCACAGTAATTAAACAATATAGTATTTATGTGTGTCTTATTTATTTCACTAATGAGTATGTTCTCAGGTGCACCCAGTTACCTATAAAAGTTTCCAGTTTATCATTCTTTATGGCTGAGTAGTACTCCATTGTATAAAATACATCTTTTTATCCATTCCTCGTCAGTGGGCATTTAAGTTGTTTCCATGTGGGTGTACATGCATCACTATGGTGTGATATTTTTAATTCTTTTGGGAAGATACTCAGAAGAGGAATAGCTGAATCAAATGGACCTCCAATTCTAGTTTTTTGAGGAATCTCCACATTGACTTCCACTGGCCGCACCAGTCTGCATTCCCATCAACGGTGGAGAAGGGCTCCTTTTCCCCCACAGCCCCTCCACCATTTGTTATTGGTTTATTTCTTGATAGTAGCCGTTCTTTCTGGGGCGAGGTGGAATCTCAGTGTTGTTTTAATTCACATCTCTCAAAAGATCAGTGAGGTTGCACATTATTCACGTACTTATTTGCTGTTTATATTTCTTTGTCTGAGAAGTGTGTGTTCATCTCAGATGCCCTTTTTTGGATTAGGTCTTTAAATCCGGGAGAACTGATTATTTTGAGTTCTTTCTGTTTCTCCATAGTGATCCTTTGTCTGAGAACAGCTAGCAAACATTTTCTCCCATGTGGTGGGTGCCTCTTCACTCTCTTGGTGGTTTCTCTTGCTGTCTGAAAGCTGTTGAGTAGGGTGAGACCCCAGTTGTTGACTCTTTGTGACAGTTTCTGTGCAATCAGGGTTTTGTTTATAAGGTCTTTACCTACACCAGTGTCTTCAAGAGTTTAACCTACTCTATCTTCCAGCAGATTGAATGTTTCTGTTTTAATATTAAAAGCTTTGATCCATTCTGATTCTAGCTTAGTGCATGGTGAAAGACATGGGTCCAGTTTTAATCTTGGGCGTGTGCAGAGCCAGTTTTTCCACACCATTTATTAAAGCGGCTGTCTTTCTCCCAGTGACGGTGTTCGGCACCTCTGTCAAGGAGAAGGTGGCTGAGGTGCTGGGGCTGTTGCTGCATGTTGTGCTGCTGAGACACTTCCCTTCTCCTCCGTCCTGAGCATCACTGGATGCTCTGGTTCCCCTGGTGATTTTTAGGTTTTATCTTCTACTTCTGGCTTTGTGCTTCCTTTATCAGTTTTAAACCACTTTTTCTTGAGCGTTGCTGACACTGTCTCTCCCTGCTCCACAAGGACACACAGGCTTCCTCTGCCTATTCCTTCCGTCCCCTCTCCCGCTGCTCCGCTGCTTGTCCTGTGTCCGTTCTCCTCCATCCCCTGGTCTCCCCTGGTCTCCCCAGGCCTCCGAGATTCTGCTCAGTCCTGCCCTGCGGGAAGCTCTTCAGCGTCTCCCAGGGCTTCACGACCAAGTCCTGAGCAGGCCCTGAGCATGGCACAAGACCTGTGTCCCATGGCCCTTTCTGGCTTAGCTCAAAAATCTCCTCTTGGTAAAGAAAAGAGCTGCCTGTTAGTCGCAAGCCCCTCCGGGCCAAGTGAGCGTGGTGTGGCTGAGAGGAGAGCTGTGTTAGTGGCCTTCACGTTGCTGTGGTAACCAAAACCTTGCAGAGAAATGTTCCATTTAGCTCCCAGGTGGGAGGTTACCGTCCACTACCAGGCGGCCCAATGCTTCGAGCTGCACACGGCTCAGGTCAGCAGCCAGGAGAGGCAGGAACAGGCGAGGGCCCGGGCCTCCCAGGCCGCTTCTCCTGGGGCCAGGCCACCCACACCGCCCGAGGGGCCCAGGCCTTGCCACGCGGCCCTGGAGACGCCCACCCAGGGTGCAGCCAGGCTGCCTTCCAGCACCGCCGCACAGCTGTGGCCCTGACCTGGGACCGTTTTCCTGCTTTTCCCCACGCAGTCCTGAGCTGCTCACCGGCGCAGAAGAGCAGCTGCTGCAGGGCGAGGAGCTGACCTCGGACCTGAGTCAGATCCTGTTTGAAAGGCAGTTCCGGCGCTCGAGGCTCAGCCGGGAGACCACGGGAGCTGCAGAGAAGGTGAGGGGGGTGGGAAGGTCTGGGGGTCCGGGGGAGCGGGGCCCACCGCGGGAACCTCGAGTCCAGGGCCGAGCAGAGCCTGGCCCTCAGATCAGAGATCAGGGATCAGATCAGAGGAGGCCACAGCATGGACTGGAGCAGGAGAGCAGGGGGGGAGCCCAGGAGAGATGCTGGGGTTGTGTTTTTGGGGAAGCCAGACAGGAAGCCTGTGGAGCGAGGCGTGCCCTGTTTTCTCTTGGGGACCCAGGCTTACCGGTGGGCAGGGGAGCCGGGCCAGGGCCCTGGGCCTTGCTCCTGCGGTCACCACCCTGCTGTCACTTTCTACCATTGGCCACCCCGTGTTACCCCAAACCTGACCATAAATTTGTTGTTTCGTCGCAGTGGTAGGGGGTAACTTTTGAAATGAAATTTGTACAAAGAAAGGAAGCAAAGTGAGTGTTGTACCCCAAAAATGAGACGACATCCAAAAAAGAGCGCTTTATTTAGGGTGGTACCCAGCGGCACAGTAGCATTAGAATTTGCAAATCTGTGTAACTAGGTTAGATTTTTGGGAGCCACACAGCAGGGGTGGGAGGGGATAAGGGTGAAGAAGGCTCTGGTTCCCTTATTTGGCCCGGGAGACAGAGGTCCTTGCTTAGTCAGTTGCCTTTACGGGAAGTTTTGTCACTAGTGGTCAGTGAGTTTCTCTTTTATGGGATCTTGGCAACTTGTGGTCAGCTAATTCCAGGAACAATTGTCTCTTACATAGGGGGACAAAGGTTGGGACAGAGCGCAGGGTTACCAGGGTAACGATGCATATTCGGAGCTTCAGTTAGAGCACAACAGGGAGATTTTTAGATATTTGGCGCATTTGCTCCCAGGGCCTTTGGACTGAGCACAGGGACATCACCAGCTCCCCATTTTGGGGGGACAGGATCTCATTATGTAGTTCAGGGTGGCCTTGAGCTCTCTGTGCAGCCTAGGGTGGCAGGAATCCTCCTCCCTCCATAGATGCTGGGCTAACAGGGACACGTCTGACTTGTTTTTTTAAATCCTAAGACAGAGTCTCACTGAGTTGCTAAACTGCCCAGGCTGGCTTGACGTTAGGTGTTTTACAAGCAGGAAAAGGTATTTCATGTGCAGGAATTTTCCCAGCATGGATATCAGCCAGCACTCATGGCGCATGGCCTGATTGTCCTCAGTCCTCTCCCTGGTCCTGAAGCCCAGGGGGTAGGACCCCGGGCAGACCCACGTGTGTGTGTGTGTGTGTGTGTGTGTGTGTGTGTGTGTGCACGCAGGCCCAGGGCCTGCAGGGCTGCAGTGAGGGTGGCTTGGCAGCCCTCCCCACACCTCCTCCTGGCCGCTCATCTCTGCCACACCAGGGGCCCCGGGGAGCCTCTCCCCCTCATTCCAACCTGAAAACCTGGTCAGGTCTTTGGCAGCATCCGTCCTCTGTGGTCTCCTTGCTCTCTCCAGACTTTTGAAGGAGGAACAAATTCTCCTTAGCTGGCAGGTTCTGATGTAACGCTCCCCAGCAGTTTCCACTGAGTGTGATTCTGCTGACCATGGTCAGCCCTTCCACGGTCAGGCTTCCTGCCAGGCCCGCAGTGCTGGGGATGGACCCAGGGCCTTCACACTGAGCTACATCCCCATCTCTTCATTTTGAGACAGTCTCCCTCGGTGGCCAAATTGTCCCAGCTGGGCTTGAACTTGCCGTTCTCCTGCCTCAGCCTTCCGTAGTCCTGAGATTACAGGCGTGTATCTCCATGTCTGGCTCAGTTCTGGTTTTTAAAGATTCAAGCTGTGTAATGTGATGAGTTGACCCTTCATAATGCCTGCGTTATGAAGAGACGGCCACAGTCAAGCTTAATGACACACTCACTGCCTCGCACACTTTTGCGTGCATGAGTGGTGAGCACACTTACGATCTAACCTAGCAAATTTGAAGCATAGCCTTCTCCTGGTATCAGCAGGAGTTGGCCCCAGGACCCTCAGTGGGTACCAAAATACGTGCTGCTCAGTCCCGTGTGTGCAGTGGTGTTGCATTGGCGTGTAACACACACGCCATCCTCTTCCTAGGGTGATTGATGCCTACCTAGAATATGAGTCCCTGCTGTCCATCCCTAGGGGAGCTTGCCTTCAGTGAAGATGCCTCCTCCCAAGGTCCTTTGTGTACGCTGAATCATTTCTAGATGACTTCTCCAACTTAATACTACGTAAGTTCTCTGTCAGTGGTTGTTACACAGCTGTGCACCACCATGCCAGCTGACAGATTCCTTTTTACTGTGTTGATTTCATTGCTTGTCACTGGGTTGTCTAGCATATTTGTGTCTTCTTGAGTTAGCTTTGGTAATTTATATGCATCTAGGAATCTATTTCTTTAAAATTTGCCAATTTGTTGGAATTGAGTTTTTTAAAGTAGTTACTATATTCTGGATTTTGACAGTGTCTGTTGTGACTTCATCTTTTGCATTTCTAGCTGCACTATGTGGTAAGTCCTCGGGCCTATCTGTTTTGTTTATTCTTTCAAAGAACCAGTGCTTTGATTTGCCGATCTGTGCATTATTTTTGTTTGTTTTTAGCCTCCATGTCATTGATTTCTGCTCTAATGTTATAGTTTCCCTCCTTAATTTGTTTTGGCCGGAATTGTGTTTCTCAAGTATTTTAGAATTCCTCATGGGGTTATTCACTGGAGCTTGCTCCATTTTCCTGATGGAGGCATTGTTTGCAATGAACTTTTCTCTCGGGTCTGCTTTCTTGGGGTCCCAGAGTTTTTGGTGAGTTTAAATTTCTTGACTTTTTCTATAATCACTGGTTGTGTATAGGTGTGTTGTTAGTTTTCCAGATGCTTCTACCTTTTCTGCTATTTCTTCTGCAACTCTATTTTCATTGCATGGTGGTCTGAGAGTACACACAGGATAATTTCAAAACCTTTATATTTACTTAAGCAGGCTTTGTGGACTAATGTGTGATCTATCTTGCAAAAAGTACCGTGTGCTGCGGAAAAGAACGTGTACTGTGCTGTGTTGGGATGTAGGTATCTATCTGTAGATATCAAGTACACCGGTATGTTTGAGGGTGTGGTTTAATTCTAATGTTTCTGTGATTATTGTTTAGTTGACCTGACTTTGTGAAAGTGGGGTGCTAAGATCCCCACTCTGGGCGTGTTAACATGTTTGGAGTCTTTTGTATTCAGCAGTGCTGTTTTATGAAGGTAGGTGCCCTGATACTCAGTGAAGAAATACTTACCAGTGTTTCTTCCTGATACATCCTTCCCTGGAGCAGGGTGTAGTGGCCTCCTTTGTCTCTTTTAGTCAGCTTTAGCTTGAAGTTTACATGTCTGGGATTAAAGTTGCTACCCCATTTGTTTCCAGGTCTTGGTGCATGAAGTACCCTTTAATTTTCAGTCTGTGAACATCTGTTTGCATTAGGTGAACTTCTTGCACATTGCAGACAGTTGGATTCTGTTTTCTGATCCCGTCTATGAATCCTCATCTTTTAAATGGGGAATTGAGGTCATTAACATTGAGAGGCCCGCTGAGAAGTGTTGGTTGTTTGCTCTATTGCCTTCTCTGTTACTGACTTGCTTATTTTTCTTTTCTTGTTATTTTTTGTTGCTTACCTGTTGACCTTACTTGGTGTTTTTGTGTCACGAGGTTTTGACCTGTTTTGGTTTCACGTCTTCTGCCTAGGAAATTGGTGAGTGCTTTTTGGAATGCTGGAGTCATAAGTCTCTTGAGCTGGTCTTTTTTGTGAAATACTCTTATTTCTTCACCTATTCTGAAAGAAAGCTTTGTGGGTAGGTTAGCTGAGGTTGGACGTTATTTGTGTTTAGTGCTGAAATACTTCACATGCTCTTCTGGCCTTTAAGATTTGTATTGAGAAGTCTGCTGAAATTCTGATATATAATTTTTTGTTTTTCTCTGACTGATGTAGAAGAACTTATTGAGGAAGAGAAAGCTTCTGTCTGAGGGACAGAAGGGGGCCCAGAGAGTGGGGTGCCCGCCATCCCCGCTTCCCAAGGGTGTTTACTGAGCAAAGCCACAAGGTGAGGGGGGCTCAAGGTGGGACAGAGGTGTCACAGTAACATTACAGAGTGTAGTCGCTGAGGTAACATTGATGCATGGCAGCCCACACGGTGCTGGTGAGGCGGCACAAGCTGTGGTGACCCAGTGAGGTTACAAGTGTAGTCACTTAGGCAGTGTTGATTAAATGGGGATCAAATGGGGAGGCGAGTTGCGTGGCAGGTGCACATGGGCAGACAAGGGCTTTCTTGGAAGGGGTGGCTAAGGGTCCTGTTCCTCTTCCCAGGGTGATTGATGCCTACTTAGAACATGAGTCCCTGCTGTCCATCCCTAGGGGAGCTTGCCTTCAGTGAAGATGCCTCCTCCCAAGGTCCTCTTCTGCACTGACCTCTTGAGTGTCCAGGCCTGTCTGTCTGCCTCGGACATTTCTGCCTAACTTAGCTTTCTGTAATATTCCCTCCTCTGAAGAAGCACCCCTACCTGCAGTGAGGGGGCCAGGGGCTGAGGACTGATCAGGCTACTTGCAGCTGAAGAGGGTGGTGGTTGTGATTGGCATCTGACTGCTTTTAAAATTCTAGTTTTTGGGCTTTTTTTTCCCTATTGGATATCTGGCAATTTAGCAAGGCTATCTCTTGGGGAGCCTCTTTTTTCATCATAGTTGTTTGGTGTTTTGTAAACCTCACTTCTTTGTATATTGAAGTCTTTGTTTGTATTTGGGAATTTTTCTGCTGGGGATGATACAGGAGATGATACAGGGGAAACAAGCTCCCAACCTAGTAGATGTCTGGTACGAGATCATGTTCTCTAAAATTGAAGAATGAATTTTAGGAACAACAGAGGTTAAAAGCAGAATATATTTATTGAAAGAAAGCTTCTGTCTTAGAGAGACAGAAGGGGTCCCATGAAGATTGACAAAGACTCTGTCTTTTCTAGGGACTTTCATGGAGCAAAACCACTGTATGGGGTAGGTCCAAGATGGGGAAAAATGGGAACTCAAAAGGCAGGGGGGGCCTGAGGTGGGACAGAACTACGGTCAACCAATACGATTAGGAGTGTGATTACTCAGGGAGATCACATGGGGAGGTGAGTCATGCAGCAAGGGGCACAAATACAGAAGAGGGTCTTTGCGGGTAAGGGGTTGGGTTAGTGGCTCCTTCTGGCTGCCTCAAGGTGATACCTACTTAGAACATCAGTCCCTGATGTTTATACTTTGGTTGTGGTTGCATCAGTTTTAACTTTTGTCTTGAGATCTGGCCCGAAGTAGAGAGGGGTCTGTGTCCTCCAAGGTTGAAGTCCTCTGCACTGGAGGGTCCAGCCCTGTCTGACTGCCTAGAATATTTCTGTCTAACTCAGCTGTGTATAACAGTGCTAGAGGTCAAAAATTCTACTGGACCGCCCTCTCCTTCAGGACCACTCCCTCTGACCACTTCTCTGCAGAGTACAGCTCTGTGGATGCCTTGGTCTGACTCTGGGGCCCCCAAGGAATCCCAGGAGAGTCCCCACTTAGCTCTCCCCTCTCCGAGCCTGCGGCCCCAGGATTCCCTCCCAGTCTCTCTGATGGGGACCCTGCGGTCCTGGACTGAAACTCTCTGCCTGGGTGTTGGTCTCTCCATCAGTGGGTGGGCGAGTGGGTTGTCTCCTCTGTGCTGAGGAGACCCCAGCAGCAGATCCTGGCGTGCATTGTGCTACTAATGCAGGGATTCCTCCTGGGCATAGAGTGCTAGCCCTGGGGTGTGGTGGGGCCCTTGACTATGGTCACAGTCTTCACCCTGGGCTGCTTCTGTGCAGCCTGGATTTGACTGCATTTCCCTGGCAGTGAGCAAAGCCAAGCATCTGTCTGAGCATATACCTGTGGACCGTTTGTGTGTCTTTGAAAAGATAACCATCCAGACTTCTCCCCTGGTTTGAATTGGGCTATTAGTTTTCTAGCTACTGAGTTGAGTTACTTGTGTGTTTTGGATATTAACCTCTTATTGATTGTTGTTTGCAAGTATTTTCTCCCAGTTGTCTTTAAAAAAAAATATTAGCATATATTTTGCCCGTATAAGGGATGCAGGCTGTCTTCATTTTTTTGCTTCTTTGCTGTGCAGGTTTCTCACTTGGCTCGTTTCTTTCTGACCCTAATGTGACTGTGGGTCACTGCCACTGCTGTGGGGAACGCGGCTGACGCCCAGTGGAGGTTTATTTTTGCTTGTGGCCAGCACTGGGCAGGTGGGCAGATACCCCTCTTCCGGGCTGACTGCTGGCCTTTGCCACCTTTGAGGCTTGGCGTCTGGACTCATGCCTGATGGTGAGGAAGGTGACCAGGCTGGTGTGTCCTTCCCTCCTGTGTGCAGGCCTGGCCTGGAGCTGGTGTGTTAGCACCTCTGTGGGCCGGCTTTCAGTCAGCGAGTGTCCCTGGCTGCCTGACACATGGCAGGGAAACACTTTGTGGATGGCTGGTCATTGCTGCCAGCCCTGCAGACAGGTGTATGGACTCGAGGCCAGGAGAACCTCAGGTGCGAGCTGCAGCAATCAGAGCGTGGGAAGGCCGTGGGACAGGAGAGCCGGCCGGGAGCCCGCGGAAAGGGGGTCCCAGCTCAGGAGGAGGCCCGCGTGGGGAGGGACCGTGGGGTCCCCTGCTTCCAGGGGCCTCCTCGTCCCGACACCCCCTCAGCCCTCTCTCCTGTCACTAGGTTTTAGGGGCCCAACAGCAGCGCCCCCGATCCTGGGCAGCTGGGGATCACCGACAGAGACGGGGCTCACTGTCTGCGCGAGGAGGAGCCATGACGGCAGAGGTGCTGGGGCAGCACCTGGTGTCCCTGCAGGCGGCGGCCAGGCCACCGTCAGCCTTTCACTGCAGATGACTCCGGCCTGCGGCCTTACAGCAGTTAAAACACCGCACAAGCCTTTTCTCTCTCCAGAACTGGAGAGCTGTTACAAGAAATAGCCCAGTAATACCACTTGCTGTTTACTGAGCTTGCTGTGAACCGTGAACTGTGAGCTGTTTGTGTTCATTAAAAAGCCCAAACCACAGAGGACGCCCGCTGTATCCCCCACCCCCAGCCTGAGGGGCCAAGGTCCTGCCCCAGGGTCACCACCACTCACACCTGCTAAGGGTGTCAGACGCCAAGAGCCTGGGTCCCTCATAGGAGCGGGGAGCTGTCCCCTCCTCTGCCACAGTGCCCTACCCCAGGAGCACGGGGGTGGGGGGCTCACAGGGACCCCCACCAAGGGGCACCTTATGGCGGTGTTGGGGGGAGGCCTTTTCCAGGCATCGGCATCTCAGAGCGCACCTCCCCGCCCCAGGCCGCACCTCAGAGAGAGCCAGCTGGGTCTCCCTGGGCAGATCTGGGTCCGCAGGTCAAAGGGGAGCACTGCGGTACCCTGACATCAGCCTACCCCTCTCCTCAGAACCAAGGAAACCTGCTTTCTAAAACCCCAGCGCTGGCCAGGAGTTTGCTTTCCCTGGTGAGGCCTGACCTGCCAAGCTCTCCTGTAAGAAAGCAGAAACTCATGTTTTTTGGTTTTTTTAGAGAGGTCTCACTCTGTAGTCAGGGTGGCCTGAAATTCCCTACATAGCTAAGACTGGGTGCAAACTTGAGACCTTCCTGCTTCAGCTTCCCAGGGTAAGGGATTGCAGGTGTTACAGGTTATAGTCTCAGCTCTTTTATGTCTGTACTTTATCCAGTTACCTAATTAGTGCCTTGGGCCAGTACCCGGAATGACTAAGTCACGGGTGTTTAAATTCTAGTATTTTTTTTTTTTTTGCTTTTTCATTTTTATCGGTACCGGGGATTGAACTCACGACCGCCTGCTTGCAAGGCAGGTGCTTATGCCGCTGAGCTAAACCCCCAGCCCCTAAATTCTAGTATTTTGAATTGTTTTCTGGCCCTCCTTTGCCCAGTGGTTACATTTAGTCGGAAATAAAGACGTGCTGGAGGCCCCAGCCCTTGGGACATCTGAATCATTCCTCCTCCTCCCAGCTGCCTAGAGAAAGCCCAGGCTCTTTACAATCAGGACTCTTCACCCATGAGATTCCTTTAAAGGGGGATCTTCTTCAGTAGTGTTCATTAACCTAGACACCTAGTGGCAAAACCGTTGTTCTATCCATATTAGAAACACCTCAGGGGCTGGGGATGTGGCTCAGGGGTAGAGCTCCTGCCTGGCATGCCCAAGGCCTCGGGTTCAAGCCATAGCACCACAAACCTCAGACTGGGCGTGTCATGGTGGTGCATGCCTGTAATTCCAGCGCTCAGGAGGCTGAGGCAAGAGGATTGCTGCCAGTTCAAGACCAGCCTGGGTTACATGGGAGACCCTGTGTCAAAAAACAAAATAAGAAGACAAAACAACTTCATGCTCCAAAGCTGAGGAGTCAAACAAGCAGCCGAGTCAGGAGTTGGTGTGGCTGAGGAGTGGGGGACAGCATGAAAGTCGGGTCTCTGTGCTGGAGGGTGAAGGGGCTGCTGAGCGGCCGGCTGCTGGGTGTCGCCCTCTTTCCCGGGTGACTTCTGCAGTTTCCAGTCTGCTCAGCCAGCAGCGCCTCAGCTTACCGGTGTGACTCCCACGGAAGTGACCCGTTCCAGCCACTGGAGAAAACAGAGCTCCAGGAACATGATGGAGATCTCCAAAGCCACAGCGCAAGTCATGGCAGAGCCAGGCTGTGGCCCTGGGTCTCTGGCTCTTCTGCCCTCTCCGGGGTCCTCCCCATTCTACCAGAAAGGACACTTGGTTTTGCTGAGCAGCCTCTGACGTGGCCTTTTAAGAACTTCCACAAAGAAAGAAAATCAAGCTTTGAAAGAAGTTACATTCATAAACTTATATCTTTATTCTCTTTCTGTACATATTGGCAATGATAAAGCTTCCAGGTGCATGTCCTATGAATTATGCAAAACAAGGAATTTACATAAATAACTTATAGTTCAGAAAATTAAAGTTGAAAAATATTTTCCATATTATTAGAGTTCACAGTATTTAAAGTACATCAAGCTTCCCCTTATATTTAAAACTCTATTGTCTTAGCAGAGAATGATAAAACCTAGTCAGGAATACAGTGATCAAGTTTCTGGTTGTGTTCAGTGCACAAGTAGACGCCATTCACCAGCAGGCGGCTGGAGCCGCAGCCTTTCATCCCGACCCTTTGCCTCCTGAGTGCTGTGACCTGCAGGGGCCACGTGGTGTGGGCCACACGGTTCCAGCGTCACCAAGCCGTCCCCAGTGGACACACTGCCAGGCCGTGATATCTGGTGGTCTGATGCCTCGTTTCCACATAATACTTTTATAGCCCTGAAAATGGAAACCGGCATCGAAACCGGCGGAACTGTTAGCACTAGTACAAGGCACTGCGCTGGGGTTGTTTCTAGAAGGGATCGTGTTTGCATAGATTGCGAGCGATTTAGTGTGCAGCACAATACAGGCCGGTGTGTGGCTTTGTGATGGATGAAGCCCGCGATGCTCTCGGCCCAGCCCTGGGAGCAGATCCTCTCATGCAGTCCTGAGTCCGCTACGGGACAGGTTTTTGTTCAAAAAGCTGCAGGTCAAATCGGACCCAGACCTCCCCAGTGGCGACCTCATGCAGCAGGAGTCGGCGGGTGGTCGGGCCTTTGCTTTCCTGTTCTGTTCGGATTTTTGCCAGTGGAATTTCAGTACGACCCAGGAAATCTGGTAAATAAGCATTACAGGAGAGTCAAGTCTTTGTCCTTCATAAAGAGGCATAAAAACTACCTCAGGTGGAACGGGTGAAACAGGACTCACAGAGGTCTGTGGTGACTGTGTCCAGATGCCCCCGAAAGCCTTATGTGGTCACAGGTGGGGCTTTTCAGGGGTGGCTGCATCTGGGGCGTGTGACCCTGGGTTAAGGGTGTATGCTGGGATTCAAGGGTCCCCCCCAGGTGTGAGTGCCACCGCCCGAGGGAGCAGAAAGAGGGCTGCTGCTGTGTCACGTCTGCCTGCCCTGCCATGGACCGTTTCTCCTCTGGGACGCCCCCCTTGCTGCGCCACCCTGCCCTGGAGCCAGCCCATTAGGACCGAAACCTCTACCGCGAGCAACAGTAAAGCTTCCTTCCTTAGCTGCGGGTGCTGGGTATTCTGGCTCAGCAACAGGACAAGTCACTAAGACGGCGCCCAAGCCAGAGCTGGTGACCTCTGGCTCATGACGGCTGGCCTGTGAGTAGATGTCTGCAGTGACCACAGATCCGCCTCAGAGCGGCTGCCTGCGTGGGCTTTCAGTCTCTTCCGGGACCAGGGTTCTATTCTTTCAGCCCAGTACTGGGGTCAAAGATCTGCAATACATCTACGGCTGGCACCACTGTGCTGCCACTCTGGTCCCCTTCCCCCAGGTGTTGCAGGGTGTGCACTGGCCACGCACCTTGGGTCCAGTCCGTGGATCCTGGTCAGCTGGGAACACCTTTAAGACTCCTACCCGAGCTACACTTACCATCCGGAGAAAACTGGTCTCTGTCAAACATGGTGAGGCACAGCACATCCTGGTACAGATCCTTGATGAAGAACTGGCAGTTGAAATTCCATTTGGGGTTTAGGGTGTCCTGCAGAGTTCTGGTGGTGTAGCTCTGGGAGCCCATGCTGACCTCGCAGTACGGATTGCTCTTTCCTGAGCAGAAACAAGCCAGAGATAGAGCGCGGTAGGAAAAACAAATGACTTATAGGGCCATCTCCGAGCGAGGTAGGTCCCACTGCGCTGCTTGGCCAGGGGCCACGGCAGCAGGAGCCACATTTGCCTGCCTGCAGCGGGGCAGGGTGACCGGGGAGCAACTTCAAGTTCTAACCCCAGGCCTTCCCCACCTGTGAGCCAGGCCAGTGCTGGTGCCAGCTACTTAGTGATCCCAAAGAAGCACTTAGGGAGGCACCAGCACTCCGGGGGAACCAGAGAGAGGACGCTGACCCGATAAAATGGCTTGTCACTATCTCAGTGGCACCAGAACGCATCCCATCCTCCAGCATTCAGAGTGTCACCAGCGCCCCATCTGCTGATGCGGGTACTTACCATTTGGTTTGCAGGCTTTTAACTCTGTGGCCTCAATGACATGCACCATCAGACGCCCAATGCCAGAAGTCTTCTGAGAGCGGGCTGAGGTGGAGGAAGGCGGTCACGTTAACTCCTCTGAGACTGCGGGCAGCCCGGGTGGCACTGGGGGTCCTCACAGTCCCTCTTGGTACTTCTTTTGTTTGATGCCTTCTGCCTGCTAAGAGCACTCTCTACCACTAAGCCACACCCCCAGCTCTCAGGGTCTGTTCTGAGAAGTCACAACAGCCTTGCTGGCTACTGCACTGGCTGTAACTGCCCTGTATCTGGCTGCTCGGTGCCTTTCCTCAGCCTGCCCCCCAGCTAAGGCGGCCTGCCTGCCACCGCTGCCCATGGTCGGCCAGCTCCAGCGCACAGCCAGGGCCCAGGGCACCCCCTCCTGTGTGTCCCCCACCCTTGACTTCTGAGCAGCCTGCACCCTGCAGGACCTGACATGTCCTCTAATGAGTCTCGTGGGCCAGGCAGGAGCCAGGCAGTTGAGGGACAGTTTTATTTATCACTGTAAGAACCTCTCAGTTGCTGAGCAACTGGTATTTAAAAAATGATGCATGATCAGCACTTTATAGCAAATAATACCGATAGGATACTTACAATGCGCTAGGCATATGCTACTTTTATGTAAGTAATATTTTTTTAAATTTGTATCTTATTTGAAAAATAAATGAGACATAAATGAGAGAGAGGCTCACACTAACTTGGTCAAGGTGAAGTTAGGGAAGCAGGTTAAGGAAAGGGGCTTGGTGAGCTATGAACTTATCCAGCTCCAAGCAGCACAGCTGCTATGCGCGGCTTGGTCCAGACCCACCTGTGCCCACCTCTGTTTCTGAACGAGCCCTCAGGTTCCCTCAAGCCAGGCCTGGGCCTCACTTGTCTCTCTAGGCCCAGTGCCAAGCACTGAGCCCAGCACGCAGTAAGTAGACGATCAATGTCTATGGAGCTGACCACACGGACAGTGCGGAACATGCACACTCATGATGGCAAGCAGAACTTGTGG